CTACTTATACTAACTATAAACTACTTAATCTAAACATATGATCGCCTCGCTCGCTTGGGAGGAGGCAAGGCGAAGTCGGAGTCATCAACGGAGTCGGAATCCTCGGAGTCATCATCGTCATCTTTGGCGTCGGCATCGGCGTCGTCCTCGTCCTCCTCCTCTAGGTCCTCCTTCTCGGAGCTCCACGGAGGACTATAGTCAAAAGGCCTCCAGTCGTCGGAGGAGACGTCCTCCTCGGAGGACTGGTGGGCTGGCAAGTCATCCTCACTGGACGATGGGCTACTTGGAAACTTAATGGGGTTGTCTGACATTTTGTTTATAGATTGGAAGAGAAGAGGATGATGGATGAAGAAGAGGGGCGGTTTCAGAGGGCACCGGGTTGAAGTATATGTAGCGTAGTGGGTACGGCTCTTAGGCTTCAAGCGGTGGAAGTAAAGGTGATTTGACGGCCTTGGAAGTTGAGGCAATTCAACACTCACGCTGAATTTACTGCCGCTTGACCAAACACTAGTTTAGGGCCGGCGGACAAAATACGTATCCCAGTCGGCCCGACTTTTCATGCGACGGAGGAAATGCAACCCCAATACCACTACCGCATCTAACGTTAACCCGTTGGTGGTAAAAGTCTGAACTGCCAGTTTCATTCCTAGGAGGCCTCGCCATCGTTTCAATCGACGGTGAAAGTATCACACGGTCGCTTCTATCGCTAAGGAAGTGAAAGTGACGACAGTGATAAATCAATCTGTAGTTGTGTTAATTACCAAAACTCAAACGAGTCTTTCAACAATGTCTATTCTTTTCATTAAAACATGAGCATCAAGTTCCACCCAAAAAAGTTGGGGCGTGACATAGTTCTTGGTCACATGACATTTAGGTCAAAACCTCTCTTAGTAGATCTAGTTTTCACAAAACCCTCGATCCAAATACGTACTGCCCCTTGGTTTGGGCCTAGAGCTTGTTTTCGTGGTATGAGAAAAGCATGGCTAGAGGGCTAATAGTTGCTACATGCAGTTTTATATATGCTCCATTTCCTCTTCTCATGTGTTCAGCTTGATAGAATTGGAATAAGTTAGTCCCCATCGAATCAAAATAAATGTTGCTTCAAAAAAATTCTAGTTCTACAACAATTTATACACAACTATAGGTTACCATTTCCAAATCTTAAAGTAACTTCTTTCCATACACATACACACTTTAGAAAATATTATTGAGGGTGGGATGGTTATTTATTTGCCTCCATAATTCTTGTGCCCACTCCGAATCGAGTGATGTTTTAGGATTGATTGTTGGGTTCAACATAAGGACTGCACTCTGGCTTTGGTATTCAACAAGGCTCTATTCACATAGAGCATCGTCCATATCAAGGAAATCCACTAGGAAAAAAGATGATGGAAGAATCTAGATAAACTATTGTATCTTTTAAATTCTAGGTTTTTATGTGTTATTTGGGATGTACCGTGTCCAGTTTTAATATAATTTCTCCTTCTCTTCACAAAAAAGAAACTGAGTAATGTTAATTTACATAATACATAAAAATAGCTACAATTTAATTCTTGAACAAAATGAGGGATGTGGAGTTAGGTTTTGATCATGCCCGTTCCTATAAAATTGAGGTTGCACAGGATGCTCCTTATATTCCTCCTTCGCCCCTAGATAGGAGTTCATTTGAGGTATAAGAGCATTTTTCTCTTCAATCTTATTTGTGTATTTGAAATTATTTACATGCTACATCTACCCCCACCCCCGGTCTCCCCCTCTGTGTCTAGTGGATTGGGGATTCATCGATCTCCATGTGAGGACCTCCAACCCATGTCTTTGTTATTATTGTCATCTCACCTTTTTGTGGATTTTGGAACCAAAACAAATGATTGAAAATTCCTTTCTACATTAGAACAATTTTGTTTATGGATTGAACAAGTTTTGACATGCTCCCTATACTGTCCCCCACTATCCTCCTGTTCATTATGAAAAGTCACAAGTGAACTTCGATTTTTCTTCCTCTGAATTAGCGTAGATAAATAAGTTTTGCCTAATGCGTGATCCTGACTGGGCACTCCTTCTCGATGTGGGATTTCATCTATGATGTACAAGGGGACTGTCTGATTACCTTTTTATATGTTATTGACGTGAGGAATGAGAGCCTTTCCCTTTGTTATATTATTTATAAATATTCAAGTTTTTTGTTACATTTCACATTGATCCTCTCCGGTGTACACTTCAGTCAATTCAGGAGTCATAGAGATCCAATACGAGGAGCGATGATGGCCTTGTGTATACGATGCCCATTTATTTTGCTAATTGTGCTTTTAGGGCGCCTTGCATTGCCTGGTAAGTACACTCTACCGTGTCTTGTGTGTTCGGTAATCTTATTATAAAACTCATAACGGATATATATTGGATATTATCTACTAATAATAAAAGTAAATATTTCAATAGGTTATCTTGAGCTACTCAAGGCAGGAGACGCGACGAGCTTCCAAAATAGTCTTATGAACATATAAGCTCAGATGCACTCATGGTCCAAAACACATCAATAAGGGAGAGAAAGATCATTCTGAAATTTTGTAGGAGATATGACTGCGTGGGTATCCCCTGCATAACCAAGTCCCACTGAACTATTGTTACCAAACAATGGACGATTGTAAAGCCTATTGCCCCGTTTGCAACCCTAAGTGCTCCTCGCAACAATTGAATCATACTTTAGTTAGAGGTGCATGATCTGCTTATAACTTTTTATTATTGAGTGAGTAATGTGAGATGGAAAATGTATATAATAGTTAAATAAATTCAACACTTGGCATCGGTTTGTTTTTGATCTATTTTTTTATATGATTTCTAGTCGTGATTATGTTTTTTAGCTACTCTGCCATCACTATTCATGTGATTTTGTGTACACATTGGGTATGTTGTCTGGAGGGTGTATTTTGTGTGTAGTTCTAATAGTTGAATTTTGAAAATTTACAATGTAATAGAGTTCAAGCTTGATTGGAATGTTGAGGAGACATACTCTGCAATCATTGTGAAGGACTAATTTTCAAATGGTTTAGCTCCTCCTTGTTTTCAAATTAGGCCTAAGAGGTTTTAGCTTCTCCAGATTCATAGCTTTTGCTATGCACTTAGATATAATATATGTCTAAATACATAACAAAAGTAATATACCTAGAAAATCCAAAACGTCTTATAATTTGAAATGTAGGAATTACTTTTTTAAAGGAAACGTCTTGTATTCTAGAATGTAGGGAGTACTTTGTTTTTAAAGAAAGTACAGGGCATGTTTGGTTGGGTGGCCAACCCCTGGGCAGGCCTGCTGGAGCCAAGATGTGGATGTTTGGTTCCCTGATCTTGGGCCTTAGCCAGGCTTCAGCTGGCCTCCGTACGCTCCTGGGCCTGGCTCCTAGAGAACGGATCAGCGATCCGTTTTTCTGGAGCCTGGCTTGGCCAAGGTGCGCGCCCGTTCCGTCCCATGGGCTCAGGTGGCTGTCGCTAGCCACCGAATAAAAGCCTCGCCTCACCGCCCTCCCTTTGGGTTTCTCGGTTACTGTTCACTCCTCTCTTAGCGGCGCCACTCCTCTCTCTTGCTCTCGCTCTTGCCCCCTTCCGTCTTCGTCCTCATCGGGGTGCCTCCGGTGGCGGTGAACCTCGTCGGCGCATCTGGTAAGCGATTTGGGCCACTAGTACGCGGCGTACTCCCCCTCTCCTTCGTATTTTCTTGTTTCATTCTTCTTCTGTTGTGGATTTGTCATAGTTCTGTTATGGATGGTTTGATTTTATGCTGAGCTTTAGGGATTCGGTCAATGATTGTTGTGGATCTGGGTGGCGCAGCTTGTTTTGTCGCACCCGGTCCTTAGAACTGATTAGGGTTTCGTTCATACTGCTGCCTTGGTCTTAGTAATTGGTACTCCTATTTCTTGTGATGACCTTTAGGGTTTGGTCCATGTTTCTCTAGGATCTAGGTGGCGCACCCTTTGGTGTCGCAGCCGATCTTTTGATCTGGTTAATATTGAGGTTGTACTAATACTTAGTCTCAATTTCTTGTTTAGCATCATGGATCCCTCAATTAGGCGTCGCAGGCTCATTGTTAGGGGTGCAGCAATGGTTGCTTTCATGAGTGCTTGGTTCTTTGTTAGATTCAGACGGATGTCATCCAGTAGGAGAGGGATTACCTACGGCCCCATGTCTGTCAAAGATCAAGAAAGGGCAATAAACCTTAGCTTTATCCACCACAGCGATGACAGCAGCTGTGTGGAGCTTCTTAGGATGAAGAGAGCTCCTTTCTTCCAGCTGTGTGACTTGTTTCGCAATAGGGGCCTCCTCAGGGATAGCATTAACTGCTAGATTGAAGAACATGTTGCCATGTTCCTTCTAGGGTTGGCCATAACACAAGATTTAGGTTCATCAAACACACTTTTAAGAGGTCTACTGATACCATCAGTAGATATTTCCAGGAAGTGCTTTATGTAGTTGGTGAACTAAGAAATGAAATGATAGTGGCTCCTCCTACTTCAGTCCATCCTAAAATCCAGAATAGCAGGAAATGGAATCCTTTCTTCAAGGTTGGAGTTTCTTACTTCACCTATTCCAAAATCCAGAGTAGTTGTTGTGCAATGCATGGACTTGGGCAGTTAACCCATTTTTTATAACTAGCTTGAGATGTAACTCTTAAACTTAGTTAGGTTGGGTAGATGTCATGATGAAAAACTTGAACTACATTTGTCATGCTTAGCTGCTGAAAGATGCATTGTAGACCTGTACTGATGCTTCTATGCTATCTGTCCCTTCTCTGCGGTTATGTTTGTGTTATCTAAATGTGCAGTTTCTGGTAATGTGTTTCTGAGTTGTATCTATGCATATGTGCAGTGATGAAGAAGAAGTTTTACGTTGTGTTTGTTGGTCGCAAGGCTGGAGTGTATCTTACATGGGCTGAGTGTCACTCCCAAGTGTCAGGTTACCCAAATAACCTTCACAATAGCTATGGTAGTTACCATGAAGCTGAGCAAGCATTAGCAGATTACCAGCGCATTAACAACTAGGAGAATGCACTCAAGAAGGTGACCGAAGAGACAATGGTTGACAAAGTTGAAGAGGTGAAGGAGCTGAACAAGATTATGGCGTTCAGTCTGAAGGACCTTTGTGTTGTACTGCTCGTAGTTGTAGTTGTTTTCCAGACCTATCTGCTGTATCTTAAGTAGTTGGCCTTGCTGAACAAGAACTACTTGTATGAATGAGAATGTTAGGTACCTTGTAATGTGAACCTACTTTGTAAACTGCGGTGTCGCTATTGCCCTAATACCATTTTGGGGGAAATCTTAATTCGTGACCAATGTATCAAACAAATGCGCACATAAGCATTGAAACAGGTCTAGATTAAACAGAGCATCTGCAATCTTACCAATTTTTGCCTAAAGAACCGTCTTTTTGGCAGTCAGAGTAAACCATAGGGGGGAGAACGCGAAGGAAAATCGGCACATACCTCGGAATCGGTGAACCGGTAGCTGCCGCTGTCGTTGATGGAGTCGCCAGAGTTGGTGTTCTCAGTGCTCGCCGACTGGCTCCTCGACGGTGACCCCGAGGGCGGAGAACGAGTCGCAGACGATGAGTCACCGGAGTGCGAGGCACATGGGCAACCAGGGCCACCACTGCAACGTTGAAGAGCTCGGCGCATGGGCATGGCGTCCACCACGGCGGAGTTGTCGCTCATCGGCGCTGGTGGGGTGGCTCGACGGCGACGGTTTCGAGGGAGGAGAAGGAAGGCGAAAGGCCGGCGTGAGGGAGACGGAAGGGGAGAGAGCGTTGAGTGGTGAGCGAATGAATGGGAGTGAGGCACATGGGTGTGTTTATAACATCACGGTCACAGGTGGTAACGATACCGATTCTAAAAAGAGGTGAATGGACACTACTATGGATAAGCAATAGGGATGAAAACGGTATGGATATTTTTCGATCGTATTCGAGTTCGAATCCGTTTAGAGGGGTTTAGATTTATCCGTATCCGAGTCTGGATATTCAACGTCCGATACCGTATCCGTATCCGAATACTCAAATCACATATTTATGATGTCGACATCTAATCGTATCCTATCCGGCATGGCTAATACTATCCGTATTCGAATCCGAATCTGACTAAAAATGTGAAAACAAATATAATATCAGTGATATCCGTTCGTATCCGATCCGTTTTCATCCCTAATAAGCAACCAAACACACCTACAGTTGGCTCCACTAGTGCAGCCAGGAACTGAACCACTCAACCAAACAAAATCTCATCTAAACTAGTCTAGGTATAACAGTCCAACCAAACAAGCCCATGTTGTGTTGCTGGAGCCAGTCCTGCACACCCAGGCTCCGATCCTAGCCAGGTCAGGATTTAGCCAGGAAACCGCCCACAATTCCCACGTACCCGTCGGCCCATGACGGCGGAGCCTATAATGCACGACGCGAGCAAGGGAAAATGGATCGGACCCAGACAACCAAACTTATTCGGCCTTCGTGGAACGGGCCTGGCTACACCGGAGCCCATCAGAGAGAGCTGTTTGTCCTCGTCTCTGAGTCTCCGTCGGTCCGTCCACCTCAGCGATCTCATCCATTCCAAACACAAAAAAAAGTGAAGAAAGCGCGTGTTTAGTCGAGGGAAGTTTAAAATTTAAGTTACTGTAGCAATTTTGTTTTTATTTAGTAATTAGTGTTTAATTATGGACTAATTAGGTTCAAAACGTTCGTCTCGTAATTTTCAACCAAACTGTGCAATTAATTTTTTTTTCGTCTATATTTAATGCTCCATATCGTAAGATTCGATGTGATAGGTACCATAGCACTTTTAGTAAAAATTTTTGGAACTAAACACGGAGAAAATTTAAACAACTGCCACTCCCCTGCCCCATACTTCCGTGTCTTCACGGCCTTCTCCGGACGGCCACACCCCCACTTCTCCAAAAATCCCAAAACACCTCGGGCTCCCGAGCAGGAGAGAGCAATGCAGCGGGCCATCCGGAAAGCCGCGGCTGCGACAAGGCGAGCGCTGTCGGCGGCGGCGAGGGCATCGCCGCCGCCTCCCCGCGGCCCCCTCGCGCCTGGCTGGGGCGCCACTAGGTGGTTCTGCAGCGGGCGGGAGGCGCTGAGCTACGACGTGGTCATCGTGGGCGCCGGGCCCGCGGGGCTCGCCGCGGCGATCCGGCTAAAGCAGCTCTGCCGCGCCGCTGACGCCGACCTCTCCGTCTGCGTCCTGGAGAAGGGCTCCGAAGTCGGTGCGGCGCCTCGCATAACACGCTTCCCCTCATTTATTCTGGAGCAGCTATGTGCTCTGCGTCATCTGCTTTGGGCAATTTTCTGGTTGCGCTGCAGGTGCTCATGTCCTTTCGGGGAATGTGTTTGAGCCCCGAGCCTTGGACGAGCTCATTCCCAAGTGGAGGCAAGAGGATGTACGCATTCTGTCTTCTGAATTGTGACGAGTTTATTTATTTATTTATTTTTACTTAGAATAATCTCTCATGCATACAGACCAAGCATTACCTGTGCCTTTGTGAGCTCGTGGTTCATTCACTTCACTTGACTTAGATTCATTCAACTGATAGTATATTTTTATCTAGTTTTCAATTCAGGTATATAACAATTCCAATTGCTAGTCTCTATGGCTGTACTTTTGATTTTATTAGAAATCCAAACCTTCTGAGAATTTGAATTGCACAATGGAGTACATTTTGTTGGATACATCTGTCTTGCTGTATGCGCGTTACTTGAATTATTTTCTTGTCAGCAATGCAGATTGGAAACCACGCAATGAGCTGTTTGTGGTAATTTGGTTATGTTGTGTTTGACAGTCTCCAATCAGAGTTCCTGTCTCATCTGACAAGTTCTGGCTGTTAACAAAGAACCAAGCATGGACACTGCCATCTCCATTTGACAACAAAGGAAACTACGTGATCAGGTGCCAACATTTTGCTGTGTTCATCATCTAGATCCACGCCTTTTAAAGAAGTCTGTCATTCCTCCTGTTCTAGAGGGTCAGGCTTTGCTGAAAAATTTACTTGCGTCCAGCTTGAGCCAATTGGTGCGATGGATGGCCACAAAAGCTGAAGAGTTGGGTGTTGAAGTATATCCAGGTTTTGCTGCTAGTGAGGTACCATCATTCTTCATATTAGAAACCCTTATGTGGAAGGACTAATATTTGTCTAAATTCTTCTCTAACAGATACTTTATGATGAAAATCAAATAGTTACAGGAGTCGCAACCAATGATGTTGGTATTGCTAAGGATGGTACCCAAAGGGAAACTTTCGAAGCTGGTGTAGAACTAAGAGGCAAATAACCTTCGCTCCTTATATAGCAGGGATAATCATCTGTCTAGCAGATAATGTGCTGAAATATCGAGTGCGTATTGAGTTTGTCAGTGGTGTTTTTTTCCTTGTTTGGAATTTGGGTAGACGGGCAATACACGCACTTATTTTATTTATATAAATTGATAACTTGCTTTTCCGTTCTGTGTGTTCCACTCATGCATCTATTCTCATGGCCAGCTATTTTGAAAATACAGGGCGAATAACACTGCTTGCTGAGGGTTGCCGAGGTTCATTATCAGAGGTCAGCATGTGTAATGCTAGTTTCATTTTTTTGTCCTTTAACAATTTATTATTATTATTATTATGCTTGCAGTTTGATGCTAAGGCCTAATCATATTTCAGAAAATAATAAGAAATCACAAGCTCAGAGAGAGAGGGCAAGGGCAACATCAGACATATGCTCTTGGAATTAAGGAGGTATTCTGATAGCCGTTATACCACTTCTAGTTTCCAAATGCCTTGTTCTCAGTTTTGATGGAAGCAACCTTATATCCCCCATAAAAAGAGAAGATTGTGTCCCTGAATTATGTCAATTCATCTACATCATTATACAGACAATAAGCCATATATGCTGTAGGTCTGTTTGATTATCTATGTTTTTGTTGTTTCACAAATCTGTGTTTGTTTTTGCTTTGTCAATGTTTCTGAGGAATTTCACCATGCCCTTTATATATATTTTTTCATTCCGAGCTATTCCCTTTCCCATTGTATTTCAAGTTTATTGAACTGTGACTCATGAGCTCTCTTTATAAACTTTTGCATCCTTAAACCTTTTCTCCTAACTACTTCTAGAGGACTTATTAATGCCACTCATATACTAAGTGCATTCTATTCTTTAGGTTTGGGAGATTGAAGAAGGAAAGCACAAGCCAGGTTCTGTTATTCATACTGTTGGATGGCCTTTGGACACTAAAACATATGGAGGATCATTCCTATACCACCTTGATGATAGACAGGTCACTGTTCTGTTAGAGATGCAAACTGGTATTCAAGTATTATGCATGAGCTCTGCCACATAAATAAAGATTTAGTATTCTATCCTTGGGGTTTTGTTTTTCTGATAAAGGAAAAAGCACACTAAATATCAGATTGTAGTTTGCATTATACACAAACTAAGCAACATTAACTTTATTTTCCGCTGCTCTTGCTTAGAGAAGTTGGCTACTTAGCGCAATGCGGCAAAAGAAAAAACTTTTGTTTAGTTTGTGCCCAAAAGAAGACTCAAACCACCAATTGATCACTTATCAGTTATCACAGGGTGTTTAGTTGCAGGTTGAATAGATATGAGTTTCTTTTCATAATCAAACTTCCTGCAATGTTTATTCAAACGTTTAGATCACTGATGGCTAAGTAGTAAGTGGTTGCACTTAATGTGTTATCTCCTCTCATTTTTCAGTTAGCAATTGGTCTGGTTGTTGCGTTGAATTATCGAAATCCTTTCCTTAGTCCCTATGATGAATTCCAGGTATGTGGTTTTTCTTTGTCGATGCATTTTGAATTTTTGATGACAAGTACGCCACTTGTCTTTCTTTAAGGGTAATAGGATGCTATAGAGATTTCAATAGAGGGGCCTTCCTGAAGTACCTCTGCCTAGTTTAGTTTATGCTACAATTTAGAAGGCCCAGAGATCTTGCTCAGTGCTAATTAAGATTAAGGATGGGTAGTTTAGAAGACGGACTGGTTTACTGCGAATTAATAAATAGAATGGACCTATTTTTCTCTAAATGTTGTGCAATCATATTTCAGAAATTTAAGCAGCACCCTGCTGTCAGAAAACTTTTGGAAGGTGGAACAGCTATTCAGTATGGTGCACGTACTCTCAATGAAGGTGGTTTCCAGGTAAGATGACATTTCAATTTGGCAATTCTGTAGCAAATAGACAAACATAAGCTCTATCTGTTATCCATATCAAGTTTCTTTTATTTCAATCATTGTACATGGGTGTCACTAATGTTTCACCTCATAACATGGTTAACTACACGATACGACCTTTGTAAGCTGAAGTATAGCTTGGTACTCATTTATTGTCCTATGCGAGTCTCAGCACCTGTCTAAGTTTGTGTTTTTGTTGTTGACAATTATTACTAAGGCCTTGTTTGGATGCATGTGTATCAACTTCAATCCACATGTGTTGAAGTGGATTGGAATGGAACTTAGTTTAATTCCACTCCAATCCACTTCAACACATGTGGATTGAGATGAATACATGTACATCCAAACAAGGCCTAAAAGATCTCCAAGAGCTCCTGGTCAGGGATTTTACAGGAGGTGTGTGTTTTTAGTTTTGGGGTAGCTGGTCGCCTTTTTTGCCTTTTTCTAGTTTTTCCTTTTAGAGTTTTCGTGTTTTAGGTGTGTCTTTGGGTGGGAGGACTCCTCCTTTTCACCCCTGTTTTCTTCTCTTCTCTTGTATTAATGAAATGATACACAAATCTTTTGCGTGTTCGAAAAAAAAAACTAATATGACAATGATGAGTTTATGTCAAATTTCAGTCAATACCATATCCAGTTTTCCCTGGAGGTGCAATTATTGGATGTTCTGCAGGATTTCTAAATGTTCCAAAAATAAAAGGAACCCATACGGCTATGAAATCAGGTATCTTTCTACTGAAATGTTAGTTTGTTTGGAACTTTACTAGAGCTTGTGGATAACTTAATTGTCAACTCTGTTGCTTAGCTCAGCTTCATGGTTGATGTATATCTCTGCCCATCATCGCTCTGTCTTTTGCTTGAAATCCTTTTTCAATGCTCATTCTTTTTTTCTGATTATATTTTGAAATTGCGTTAATTATTTTTGGTGGAATTTTAATTTTAGACTCCATCTTAGTCGACAGTAAATGATGTTAGGACACTGCAGTAATTATCATGTCCTAACATCATATATTGTTGATTGGAGGGAGTAGTTTATTGATAAGCCTTGTACTAAAGGGATGGATTTGTAAAAAAGGTATGCTTGCGGCGGAAGCAACTTTCAAGTCCCTTGTTGAAGGATCTTCGATGGAACTGTACTGGGAGAACCTCAAGAAGTCATGGATATGGGAAGAACTTCATAAAGCTAGGAATTATAGACCAGTATGTGGTTATTTTATGGTTGAGTTTTCCAAACAAACTTACCTTTGGTATCTGGTTAAATATCTAGTTCTGTAAGCTGAGGGGGAAAAGAAGGCAAATTCTGCTATCTTCTTTTTTTCCGAACGTAGTAAGTTGATTAATTGAATGTGTATTTATTACTGTTTTTTTCTTCCAGGCATTTGAATATGGATTTATTCCGGGCATGGCTTTGTCTGCACTGGAACGGTGAGGTCCCTATTACGAAAATTACTTGAGCTTAGTCATTGAGATATTTCTATTGCATTCACTGAGTCATGTCTATATTTTGAACTTTTAGCTACATATTCAAAGGGAAGTCACCTTATACATTGAAGCACGGGAGACCCGATCATGAAGCAACAGATGTGAGTCTGCAGTGCTGCTGTTGCTTGTAGTGATAACTGCTTTGTTAGAAAAAAAAACATTCAAATGCATGACATTGTCTATTGAGACTGACAAAAGACTTGTGCACAGACGGCCAATCTGCATGTGCCTATTCAATATCCTAAACCAGATGGACAGATAACATTTGATGTCCCAACATCTTTATACAGGTAATGTCTGCAGCAAGAGACAACCTTCTTTTCTTTGTATGCACTCCATATTTGTGCTTGTGGACTATTGCTTCGCCATTCATGGGGTAACTGGTAACAAGTATGCTAGCTGTGTCTAACATGGCATTATTGGTATAGGGTTGATTACCCAAATGTGTGACTCTGAGATTTGCCTAAAAAATTATAACCAAACAATTATTTTTTGATATTACAATTACTTCAGCCTGTATATTGTAGTCTTCCAAGGGGCTAGGTCGTTCCAGGTCGTGTGTATATGTAACAAAAAGGCGCGTAAGTAATTTTGTGATCCTTTGGGTGTGTGGGTGTTGGTGTAACCAGGGTTCTTTACCCTTTTATCCTTCTTTAATATAATGATACGCAGCTCTTCTGTGAGAAAAAAAATATATTGTAGTCTAGAAATGCACTTACAAGAATATATTTTCAATCTGTATTTCTCTCCATCTGTCATTCCTTTGGTACAGGAGCAATACAAACCATGAGCATGATCAGCCGCCTCATCTCCACTTGAGGGATCCTATAATACCCGAACGAGTAAATGTTCCACTGTATGCGGGGCCAGAATCACGCTATTGCCCAGCCCGGGTTTACGAGTACGTAAAGTAGCCACACCTTGTTGAATTCCTGTTGGTCCCTTCATGTATCAATGATGCTAAAATGCTTAGTGACCAATAGTTTGCTGATCACTATTGGTTATGCCTGTTTTCGTGTAGATATGTCTCTGACGAAAAAGGTGACCCAAAGCTTCAAATAAATGCACAGAATTGTCTTCATTGCAAGGTAATTTATTTTGTTGTGGGTGAGATTTTCAGTCACCTAGATATGTGCATGAAAATTTGTACCCTTAGTTGTGTGTATCATGCATTTTGATCAAAGGTTTGCAATGGCTGGAAAGAATATTCGTCTCCATTCACTTTACTATAGAAAGAATAGATGTAGCCTTTTGATATTGATAATTATACTATGCACGAATGGACACTGTCAATGCTAAGATGTTCAGGAATCAGGATATGTTTTAATGTTGTTTCTTGATTGATTAATCACAACTGTTTCCTGTGATCTTGATGGTGACGAGTTTGAGCTTCTTATGACTTATTACTCTTCCTTTCTGGAGAAAATTTTACTCTTTTAGCCTGTGCTGGGCCATCCAACCTAAATTACTTGTCCACTGTATCTTCAGGCTTGCGACATCAAAGATCCAAAGCAGAACATCGAATGGACTGTTCCAGAAGGTGGAGGTGGCCCTGGTTACACAGTAATGTAGAATACTGAAAGGAAAAAACATGATGCCTTCAAAAATAATAACGGCTCATTCACCACCGGTGTCACACACTAACACTGGACCAAATCCCCATCCAAACCTGGCTAATAGGGTTGGAAGTTGCATCGTGTATGTGGCAATAAGCAACTTCCCTAAGCAGTAGACAGGATGTCAGGATGTTCGTAGATACCGATCAGGATCAGTACAATATAAAAGAAGCGTGCTTCACATGGATGGCACAAGCAATTGGTCGAGTGGGTGTCGTGAATGTAAAACTATTTGAGGATGCAATTTGTGGATCAATAACAAGGGCTGTAACAGAGATCTGGCCGAAACGAAGGATCGTAAGAGGTGAAATCTGCAATCCGGGTAGCATGTGAGCCATAACACGCGATTTGGACTCCTGCCTGCCAGAAGCAATATATCATGAAATTGAGGGCATGTTTGGCAGGGCTTCTCCTTGGCTCCGGCTCTGGCTTCTGCGGAGGAGTCTTGCCAAACATGTTTTTGGAGAAGTTGTTTTTTAGAAAAAAAAACAGAGGAACGGGAGCTGTTTTGGAGGAGCCACAAATTGTGGCTTGTCCAAAACGGCTCTGGCTCCTCAAGAGAAGCCTCTCAAGAAACACCCCTTGAGTCCTCTCCAATCTCCATCCGGTGCAGGCACCTGTCCAGGCGGGCTCTTCGTCCATCCATCCTGTGGCTCCCAGCCGAGTCCGAGCAAAGAGCGGACGGACTATTGGGTAGGGCTATTCTCCAGCTCTGGTTTCGGCTTCAGCGAAGGAGCTCTACCAAATAGTTTAGTAGGAGGAGTCGTTTGGAGTGATTTTTCAATAAAAAAAAGAGTCGAAACTGTTTTGGAGAAGTCACGAGCCCCTGAGGAAGAGCCCTACTAACAGGAGGAATGGAGGATGCAGAAGCAGAATTGACTTAACCGGAGGATGCATAAGCATAATTGGTACGTAGACATAGGTGTTTTTTTCTACGATAATGATACGACCCATGCGTCCGAATGGACGGAAGCTCCGTTCCGAAATGCATGTGTCGTCTGAGCACCATTGCCGTAGCCCCCACCTGTCCTCTGCGTCATCATCGTGCCCTACCCTGCCCTCTGTGCGCCACCACCTCTGCTCCTACCCATCCTCTACATCGTCGTGCCTGCCCCACCCTGCCCTCTGCGCGCCGTCGCCCAGCTCTGTGCGGCGTCACCTTCTGTGCGCCGTCGAGCTCCATGTTGTCGGCGAGCTCCACGCCGCCGAAATCCGCATTGCCGGCGAGCTCCACGCCGCCAAGATTCGTGCCACTGGCGAGCTCCACGCACCTCTGTCGAGCTCTGCGTGCCAATGAGCCTCCGTTCGCCCAAGCAGAAGGAGATGTTGTTCTGATAGTCCTATGTTGCAAGCCTATATTTCGAATGTTTCAGGTGTTTTGAGCGCATGCTGCAGGTGATTCAGGCACATGTTGTAGGTGTTGTGTTGCAAGGAGATGTTTTTTTCTCCCGAAAAAGTTGCAAGGAGATGTTGCTCTGAAATCATATGTTTCAAGTGTTTAGCATGTTACAGGTGCTTCAGACGCATGTTACAGGTGTTGTGTTTATGGATGTTGCAACAATGATATTATACATGTTTCAACAGTAATATGGGCATGTTTCAGTAGTACATCGCCAATGTTGCAGTAGATATTGTACATGTTTCAATATTAATCAAGTGCATGTTTCATTAGTACGTCGCCGATGTTGCAGCGGTGGACCCCAAAGGCGTCCGTACGCAAGCCAACAGCCTCTATGTGCCACCGTCGCCGCCCCCACCCATCCTCTGCATCGTCGCCATGCGCCCACCGCACCTTCTGCGTGTCGCTGCCGCCCTCCCCCTCCTGTTCTCTGGGCCATCGCCATGTCCCATCCTGCCCTCTGCGCATCGCTGTAGAGCTCCGCGTCGCCAGCGAGCTCCACTTTTCCACCGAGATCCGTGCCTGGACGCTCTGCCCGAAACACGCGTGCTCCTGTCCTCTACGCACTGCTACCGTGCCCCACCCATCCTCTGCATCGTCGCCGGCCCCAAGGGGAAACAGAGCAGCCGCGAGGCGTCCGGACGTGGGCGTTCGGACGCTAGCCATTCCATTTTTCTATTGATGAAACTCTAGGTAACAGCCCGTGCACCGCCACTGGCTCATATCAAGATAAAATATGGTGGATCAAGATGAAACTAAATAAATGCCCCAAAATAAATAAATAAATTGGAAACAAATATTGCATAACCAAAATACAATAGATTATCTATAATTTTGTATTAGAGAACTAAGGGGTCTGCAACCAAAACTGAATCATCAAATTAAGTATACATTGCTCTGGATGGGTGGTGGGGGTAGGGGTCGTGAGTACATCTAAAATATATGAATAGATCCTATAACAAATTATTAACCGATATCCACCGTCTTCTCACTCTTCAGTTTTTTTAGTTTATGGAGTAAATGGGTTGATCCAGCATTATCTTATTCCTCACAAGCTAATAATCAATATATGCATGAGGAATATGTGGATTCTACTAAAATTCATAAGATGAACTCATGATGCATCATCTCATGAAGCATAGGGTGATTCTACAGACCAAATACACCTATGTTGGAGGATGTATATATAGGAGGAAGAGAAGTGATTGTTTTTTTTATCTAATCCTAATACTAGTCAAATTGGATTATTTTGTTGATCATATTTTACTTCTTATAATATTTTTGAGCAAATTATTTTCTGGTCCATGGTCTTTTTTAGAGAAAAGGTTTCCCCCGCTTTGTACATAACAAAGCGTAATAGACCGTGCAAGTTCAAGCATATTCTAGGCACACCCACCAATCAGAAATTGAAACATTTAACAGAACATAAGCCCATCTACAGTAGCATTCACACTACTCCTGAAGGTACTTGTAGCGGTAGAATCTCGCACCAAAAGCAGCAAACCTGAATGTCCCAAACTTCATTGTTGGTGGGTCTTCGAAATCAAGATCCAATCAATCTGGAGTGGCAGTAGTTTTATCATCATTTCTAGCTCTCCGCTAACTCCTCCACATGTGCTTGTAGTTCTTGCTTTGGCATTACCTTCCAACGCTTCAATGTCCTAGCGACTTGAATTAGCACCTTTTCCTTCTCCCCTGACCATCTAGATCCCTAAAAACAACATCATTATGGAGTTTCCATAAAGACCACACAACACACCAAAGCTAACCACATTAGTAACACTATTCTTCTAGTTGCTCAACAAGCGAACCACTGATTCAAAATCTTGGCCTAGTTGTACACTTAGAATCTCTAAAAGAGTCTTATAGACATTTTTAGCTACATAGCACCCAAAGAATAAATGATTAATCGACTCAGATTCATTACAAACACAAACAGGTTGGGTCAGTGACTTCCTTTGTTTTTGCAAGGTTATCTCGAGTAAGCAACTTATTGTTTGTTAACAACCATAAAAAGATTTGAACACGAGAAGGGATGGTATATTTTCAAAATAGCTTGAATGAAGATTGGAACTATACCCCTATGATTAATCATCGCGTATCATGATTGCACTGAGTATTTCCCACTTGAGCTGAAGCTCTAGATAATATGATAGAACAAGATATCTGGTTCCAAAACATATTAGAACATATGACACATCATTGCATAAATCTCGCAAGTCATCTAAATGACCATCAATAAGCTATACATTTTGTTGCAACACACGAGTAGGTTTCTAGTTAATAATAAAAGATATAAGTAGGTAGTTCTCGTGGAGTCATGGTTCATACAAGGAAAAAGAAAAGAAGAAAGATAACACTAGTTGTCGGATACCATAAAAAGGGGTACCCTAAGCAAGAACCAAAAAAATTGCTTAGACCTTGTAAATATCAAAGCCAAGAGACAACCACGAGGCCTCAGTCGATTCTCCAATTCGCCCGAGGCCCACGCCGCAAGGCCTCGAACAAGGCACCAACTCTCCGCCTCGCCCGAGGCCCCCTCGCTCGAGACCTCGGACGAGGTACCGATTCTCCGCCTCACCCGAGGCCCCGCACGAAAGGCCTCGGACGAGGTACCGATTCTCCGATTCGCCCGAGGCCCCGCGCCATGAGGCCTCGGACGAACTCTCAGTTACCGACTCGCGCGAGGCCGGCTTGACATCGACCCCATCACCGCCGCCTTGACCAATTTCCCATCCAACCAACACGTCCAACCACTCCCCAACGTCAGCCACACGACGACGCAGTACAACAGAGTGGCCGACGGGACGGGAGTCACATCAGCGCCCTGCCATCCGGGACAGGACGGGGCGAGGGTTACCGGCTGCTGTGCTCGGCACTGTGCCCATGACTGACACCCATGCGACACTGTGCCACCTAAACCCACCTGCTCCAAGGACAGCGCGGCGTGGAGAGTCAAGTACAGGTCCCTGTAGCCTCGGAATCAACGAACAAGGCCAACCGCTCCCTCCGAGCCTCGGCTATCCGCTTCCGGGCTCCTATAGCCTCGGGACTGGTGCCTGCCGAGCCCCCCATGACGGTTCAGCCTCTGCATCGACTAGGCCTAGGCTCTCTATGTCGTCAGCACTCTGGGCCTTGGCACGTCGCCCACAGAACGCGCCATACCCTACGTCAGGTCGTAGGAGCTCCCACGTCGCGCACAGGGCCGAGCTCCTGTGCCCTCGGAGTCAGCACACCTGAGCCATCGCATCAACCCATCCTCGGCACTCCACGCCGGTCAAACATACAGCGACCAGCACGCCTCCAACAGAAGAAGGTACGCCTGCCACTAGGAGCTCCCACGTCGCACAAGACCAGGCGTGATCGGCGCGTCGCTCTAGAGTACCAAGGACAGGACCGCTCCATTGACCATACCACCACAGTAATGAGTTGCAGGGCTCGGACATACCGCCTCCGCTCACAAAACACCATGCAGCGAACGCATGTACCGCCCCTGTCCTCTCCTTCTACTATAAAAGGGGGTGACCGGGCTGTTTCTAGGGGGACGAACGAGCACA